ACTACTATTACTATCATTACTATCATTACTATTAGTATTATTACTATCATTACTATTATGATAATTTTTCCTACGATTACTGTTATTGCTAGTAATACTATTATTACTCAATGCTCACTATTACTAAGGTGAACGTGGACAGATTGCCTCTGGCTGAAGATGCCCGGCCTCCAGTTTCTCAGGTGCGGTAGCCATGATTGCTGTGCGAGATCCGCACCTGAAACATCCGAATAGGGATAATAGCAATAATAATGAGAATCATAATAGAAATAATAGTAATGGTAGGAAGAATAATCATCATAATAATACTAAGAATATTATTTTAGTTTTAACATGAATAACAATAATGATAATCATAATAATTGTAATAGTATAATCGTCGCCAAAGATTTGTAAGGCGGCGTGCCTGCGTTGCGGGCCTGAGCCTGGGCTTCGCCTGTTCCTGCACCGCTCTGAGTCTAACACTCGTGCTACGATGGATACTAAAGATCCTGCATGACCCTGGGTACCTTATCTTGGGAATTATGGTACTATAGTATACTCAGGACCCGAAACCCTAAACCCTAATAGTAATTGGAAGGCTCGAGGAAGCCTTTGCAGGACTCGGCCGCCCAGGATGCAGATACCAGTGCAAGCAACGCCTCAAACCATGCTGATCGAGTGCAATCGTGGCATAATGGGAATACAAGAGAATCCTAATAATTATTATCCCTTATAGTCACTATTACTGGGTGGGGGGCCCACCGAATATGTACACATGTATGTATTAATACAGAGACTGCTCAGCTGAACTCTTTCCGAGCTGCCCCAAGCACTGCTTCTTCGCAGGACTGCAGGAGCTCCCTGCAACTGCCGGATGGGAACAGCAGGAGGCGCTGCTCGTAGAGGAGTCGCCTGTTCAAACGCCACATTTTTCAGAAACGGCCCGGACACTGGCTCCCAATAATACTAGCGGTTAGAAAAATGCGAAGAACAATAACAGTAATAACAGTTATTTACATAAGAATGACTATAATAATAATAGTAGTAGTAATAATGAAAGTAAGAATAACAGTAATAACCCCTAAACCCTAAACCCTTAAGCCCTAATTAAACCTACATCCTAAACCCTATACCCCAAAACCTGTTAGTAACAGTTATTTACAGCTGGCTGAGCACCCAGAGCCTTGGCCACTCTCATGGTCTGAGCCATCCAAATCTCGGGCCAACCGCGGCACGGCAGCACATGGGGGTTATATAGGGTTTAGGGTTTAGGGTTTAAGGTTTAGGGTTTAGGGTTAAGGTTTAGGGTTAAGGTTTAGGGTTTAGGGTTTATGGTTTAGGGGGTTATGCAGGAGTATAAGGTTATGTAGGGGTGATTTGGGGTTATATAGGGGTATATAAGGGTTCTGTAGGGGTTATATAGGGGTTATATAGGGGTACGTGGTATATAGGGGTTATATAGGGGGTTATGTAGGGGTATATGGGGTTATATGGGGGTTATATAGGGAGTTATATGGGGTTATATGCTGGGTTATGTAGGGGTATATAATCTTATATAGGGATTATTTGGGTAGTTCCCAAAATTAGAGTCCCATGTTGGTACCCCTAGATAACAGGTGCCGTAATATAAACCAAACGAGGCCCATGAGAACAACCCATTTGAGGATGGATGACCGCCCCAATGTAACGGGCAGTCCAGACGCATCTTCACTGGACAAGCTGCTGACAAGCCATACCGGCATGCCCTTGCTTTTTGTGATTCACGCATCCTGTCCACATCGAATGAGGTCAGGCTACCAGTGGCGAAAGGAGATTGTTCCGAGCTGAGCCTTTCATAGTCGCGTCTGTGCAAAGGGTGCTGTTGAGCCTGTACACTGTACACACATGGCTGGGCCTGTGTTCATGGACCTTAGGCGTAGTAATATACTCTGCCATGGCTACCGAGCAGACTGCCCGTCTATGCACCTAGACGTTGCAGAATGGAGATTATGTCTAGTGGGTTCGTTGCTGCAGGACAGGCCCAGCAGCTCCCATCACAACTGATAGTGAGAGGTCTTAACAGCCTACTGGCCATGCTCTTGCTGATCGCATGAATGTTTCGACAAATGGGGCATGAGCCCTCATGGCCAGTCTGACTCTCATTACGCTGCTTTGTGAACAATCACTTAGGAGGACCCCCCACCCTGTAATAGTGATGTAAGAGGAATATACGAGGACCCTAATATAATCCTTATTATCCCTTATAGTCACTATTACAGGGTGGGGGGTCCACCCAAACAATCACACTAGATCCCTCGCTCTGATTGCGGTGATGCCAGTCTTGGACTTGGCACAGCTTCAGTGCACTCATGGCAAGGTCTTACATGAAATCATCATCACTGTCCGCTTCTGCGAAGTCGGGCTCCTCCAGCATGTCAAACTCAAGCCTCAAGGCAGGAAAGATTTAAGTGATTTTGAGTGTATTCACCCCCTGTCCATGGAGCACGTGCAACTGAGGCGCTGATATCTCATGAGCCCGCCAATCCCGCCAAAGCCCTTGACAAACTGGTTACCCTCCTGCGACCTATCGGAGATGAACTCTAGCTTGGTACCAAAGTTCTTGTAATTCACGACTATCCAATCCAAGAATGCTTCATTCTCGGTCACGTTCAGCTCTACGTTCGTCTCCTTGTCGACGTAGAGCTTTGGATCCTTCTCTTGTTCGGGAGTCACGTACTTGACTTCCTCAGTGTCTGTGTGAGGATTCCGAATCACGAGTCGCTTGATGTCCAGCTGCTCCCAAATGATGAGGGTCTCCACAGCACCGGCTTCTAAGCCCTGCATAGTGTCCTTGATCCCAAAGCAATATCGACCAGAGTCTGTGGCGACTTCATCCAAGAACTTTGTGACCAACTTTTTCTCTTGGACGAACTTCACGTTCCTAAGCGTCTCTGCTGACAGCTCAATTGCCTGGTTGAAGCCAGCTTCGCCACCGTAGCTGATATCGAGAAGTGGAGGAATCACAATGGCTGCCAGTCTCTGATCAAAAAGGTCTGTGTTTGTCGTCAGATCTTGCTTGAACTCAGCGGAACCTGCAACAATCAGACCCTTGATGTTGGGGGTCTCGCCATTTGGAATGAACATCTGCGTCGCTGTCTCTCCAACTTTCCGGACGTAGTTGTGTCTCTTCTCTAGTCGGAGGCGTGCAAAACGCAAAGCAGACTGTCCTCCTCGGCCGTGCTTCTTTGGCAAATCCACGGTGAATTTGTGCAAGATTTCACGGTGGTTTCCCTGCACAGTTCCGAATAGGGAGCCGTTACCATCCATGATCAAGAACCCGAACTTGTCGTCATCCTCCATGAGCTCAGCCAAGGGTTCAGTGTGAAATTTGCTGTCACACAGGTACATGGAAGTGTTGATGGGCTTGAACGGCTCAAAGTCGATCGTCAGCTTCTTCTCCTTGTTGTCCTCAAGCATTTTGTGCACAACAGGCTACAGAAAAGCATGCCAGCTACAAGAATGCACTCCCAAACGTACATTTGTGCAAACAGTTGCCCTGCACAAGGCCCTGAGAAGTAGCCACAAGACAGGTTTACGCTGAGTTTTGCAGCCTGCCCAGGCCTCCGTCAGAACTTCGCCGCAGAAAATGATGAGGCCGTTCGGCGGAGTACGGTTGTACTTCTTCAAACGCTGCTGGGTAGATGTAATAGCTGACAGCACCGACAAGCGGTTTACCCGTGACTTGATACATGACGCAGTGCCGTACTCCTCCGTCAGCATTTTGTTTGTCAGGTTGATGTCCTGCTTGGAATTGAGAATAAGTGTAATGGCAGATGTGCCATTTCCGCGTGCAGCATCGAGCATCTTAACAAGGCGTTTCACCTTCCATTGCTCGATCTGCCGATCTTCCGCTGTCTGTTCCGACATGCTGGCAAAGGATCCCAGTACGCTAGCAACGCGCACTCTACTGCTGCAAGCCAAAAAGCCACGGTCAAACTCAAAGCTCCATGACCTCCATGATACAAGACAAAAGGGCAAGGGCCAGCAAACTGACTTTTGCATAACTAGCCGGGAAGGCTTCGGCATGCAATTGTCCTCAAGCCAACGGCAGTACACCACTGAGGGCACCTTAGCCCATGCATCTCGCACATGTTATGCACATCTCAAAACGGACAATTAATCCCGCAGATACCATAGCTTGTTTGCTGTGAACAATTTTTTCCGAAGTGACTGGAGCTATCTACAGAAGATTATGCAACAAGTTCGGGCACTTTGCCGGCTTCGGACACGTTGGCGGCAACCATTGGCGTACATCTTGTGGCCACTTTCATCTTCAGGTCTTAAGCGAGATTCACTGACCCTGCTGACTTTGCTGGCACGCATGGAACCATTGTCGTAACAATTCAAATGCAGGTGCTCCTCGTGCCTATTCCAGTACATCTGCGCCATCTGTGGCTGATGTCAGAAACCAGGCTCTGGTCAGCTCTTTCATTCCTCTCTACTTACTTATGGTCAGTAGGGAATAAGGGAATATGATTCTCATGTAGTCCCCCTACAATGTATTCCCTTATTACCTACTAGCCCCCGTAATGTTCACAGCTGGCATCCGCTGTTGTGAGGCCCATCCTAGGCACTTGACCGGTCGCGGACTTAATCCGTAACTTGACCAGCCGCTTTGAGATCCACCCTGGTGCAACTCCACTCGTTTTCTTCAACTCGCACCATGCCTCCTTCAAGTGGCGTTCACACGCCAGCTTTGTGAGCATAAGTTCAAACGATATTATGACCTGCTGTGCACTTTTCTTGGCCTGTGATGGCACGAAACCTCTGCTTCCGCATGCATTCCTCACGCCTACATCAGCCCGATACCCAAATGCTGAAGGGGGACACCATGTCTGTTTACCACCAGTTCAGGCAAATCATGTTGCTCGAACGCGCTCCCGAACCTCCACCTGGGGACATCATGAAGCATGTGATGAAATGTCTCCGTTGTTGCAGCCAAGTGGTTGCGAAATCGACAATAAGGCTGCCCAAAGCAACGTTGGGATTATCTGGATATATCTGGACATGGCAAAACTGAGGCTATCAGCGACGTCTATGAGTTCACTGGCAAAGCCTCTTTCAGAACGATGGTCCTGCGACTTCTGAGTCCAAACATCTTCCACCACCGCCATGAACACCCACAGCTTCTCAGACAGCACGCCCTTACACTCTCAGCCACTGCATGCATGGGACGCGGCATTGGTCTCTTTGAAAAAAGGTGGCACTATGGGTAGTTACCTGCACCAACTGCCGTCGCCGGGGCAAAAGCAACAATGTCCGCAAAGTCCGCGACCCATCATTCCATCTCCTTACCTTCCTCCAACAAATTCGCCTTGTTGTCGCGAAAGAGCTGGGAAGAACTACCGTGGATCCGAACACAAATGGCTGAACACCGGGAGAATTGGTATAGCTTGGTCTGTTCTCTGAATCGTGAAAACTGTCACAGCTTGGTCGCCCAGCTTTCGTCGCGGGGGTGCCATAGGCAATCAGCCCAGCACCGCCCCTGTGCGACCAGTCCTTCTCACTGTTAACACTTGAGCAAAGCACAAGCAGTAGCATATTGGGGTTTTCCAAAATTAGGGTTACCTTCTTGGGAGCTATTATAACAAGGACTATAGTATGTGAGGGTCTATATTGGGGTCCCCCTGTTTTGGGAAACTGCCATATGAGGTTGGGCTGGCATAGGGTGGAGTTGACATGTTCTGTAAGTGACAAGAATTTCAGGGGGAAGCCGAGGCCAAGGAATGCTAAACTATAAACTACTATAGTATAGCTATAATCAACTATTATAAGATACCATAATATACCAGAATATACCATAATATACTATAATAGCCAGGTCTTTAGCACTTGAGTACGGAAGATTAATGCGACCACGCAGCGTGATGGTACTCCCCCGCTCATAGAAAATCTGCGTCCAGAAATTCCGACCCTCCCCTGCCCCTTAAGCCGCGCTTCCTGCGGGAGAAGCGACTTCGATCTGCTTTCCCGGTGCTGTGAAAGGATCAATCTCGAACCCCACCACTCCCTGACTCAACCTGTGAAAAAGTCTGTGTTTCTCGCTGCTTTCCAGACCTTGTCCACTACTGCTACAGCAATGATTTAGCAGTCGAACGAGTCTGATCACTATTGAGGATGCCTCGCTTTTATGATGGGACCCCTACATTGACCCCAACATATTGTAATCCTTGTTATGGGGACCCCCAAAAAGGTACCCCTAATTTGCGAAACCCCCACTTGGAGTTAACAAGATTCAGCAGCGAGGTCAGGTGCACATAATCCCAGCCCCCCCGTAGAAAAAAGGTTGCTCCTCAAACGTCGCGGCTGCAGGAGACCTGCATGCTTGTTGCATTCACGTAATTTTTGAACAGGGCAGACTATAATATACTATAGTATAGCTATAATATACCATTATAAGATACCATAATATACCATAATATACTATAATATACGACAATATACTATAATGTACTATGCTTAATATCCTATAATATGCTACGATAAGGCTTTTTGAACCTCTTCCAGGTAGGCTGGGCTTCCCAAGCAGCCTGTGCTCGAATGCAGACACCCCTCTTTTGGTTGGCTGGGAATGTAGGAATGGAAAAGAAAATGGAAACTACTATAACGGCTTATATAGGGGCTACTATAATGATCCATTCCTTCATTCCAAGCTAACCCAAGGCCAGTCGTCACAACTTCCTCAACTCTGATGTTAAGGCCACAACCACACTTCGTCTGGCCCACGTATTGAGCTGCGCCACCTTGGCTGTTTTCTAGAGCATCTAGGTTCCTTGCAGACACGTTAGGGCGGGACCCATTCCTTGAGATCAGATATCCACTCGCCGGAAACGGCATCATCGGAGGGCCTGGAGCAAGCCCACATGAAGCCTTGGGACCTGGATTCACACCAATGAGGCCCTCACACAAAGCCCACCTCAGCTTTGTAGTCAGCATCAGTGTCCAAGCCACTTCATCACATGGCCAGGGGCTCCGACCGACCATGCGACACCGTCCTTCCCACAATCGTAGAACTGATTGCCGATGATCTGGCCTGATAAAACTCTCTGCCTGACTCTACCGGGTTCTGTACAAGAACAGCGTCTCAGGGCGGCGCCATGCACAAACAGGGTAGATCCAAGCACGCAGGCAACTTCTGCGAGTCGGAGATATTCGCCTCAATCGCATCTTCACAGAAAGACGATCCGGAGGCTGCTTACTACATCACAGCATCGCCGGCCAATCAACTGTGCCAGGTATATCCTGCATGCCCTCGCTCGGTGGTGCACGCATCACTCCGCCTTCGGCTACACTGTCCTTCACAAAGCAATGGCATGTCGGCAAGGTGAAAACAACATGATCTCTGCAGAACTACAAACCTGCAGCCCGGCATGTACTGAGGGGAGATCTTTTTGACAGAAATATGAGCAGCTATAAGGTAAGAGTACGAATTATGAAAAAGATCCCAAAATGACAGACTGAACGTACTACTCGTGATGTTCCTGTTAATACTCGCTCTGATGTCTGATAACTGTACTGATGGAACTCAGCGTAGTTGCAGTCATTGTCGTAAAAGTTGTAGAAAGAATAATACTGGCCTTGATAGACATGACCGAGAGAATCTAAGTAACATCAAAAGAAGATCAACTGGATAAATACAGGGTTTAGGGTTTAAGGTTTAAGGCTTAGGGTTTAGGGCTACTTACAAATAGCAATGCTTGTCAATTCATGACTATAAGAATAAGAAAGATGACTGTCAAGAATGAATCAATAAAAAGGGCCCAAGCGCAACAGTAGCATCATAAGTCTACCTCGGACCGAGAGCGCGCTGAAGCCACGACAAAAAAAGAAGGACCCTACGACAACTAGAAGCAGTCAATCCCCAACAAGAAAATCATGCTCCCCGACTTCTGGCGCCATTTTTCTGCCGCACAGAGCAACCTGCCTCCATACTTTCACAACCTGACTCCACACTTTCACAACCTGACATGCCCAGACAGCCTCGTTTCGACACTCGTGCCGCCTACCTACGTCAGGTTGGCTTGGCCTGAAATAATACTCAGCGCAAGCTACCATGTCTATTGTAGCAGTCAAGCTACCACGCCATGTCAAACGACGGTGATTTTGCAATGGCTCCACTACTTTCTGGCCTAAATCTACTGACGTTTGAAATGCGCTGGGCTTGTCCTAAGCAACATCTGCAGATGAAACATTTTGTAGCACCCTTGAAGCACTCTCAAACTGCTCTATGAACACCCTTCAAGCACCCTTAAAAACCTACGCGCCTCTAAAACACCTTGAAAACAACCTTAAAGCACCTTTAGAGAACCTTTAAAGCACCCTTGAAGCACCCCTAAAACAGCCGAAACGCGCCTTTAGAACACCCTTAAAGCACTCTTAAAACCACTTTGAACCCTTCAAAACACCTTTAGAGCAACCTTAAGACACATTTAAAGCACCCCTAAAAACATTTGTAAATTAAAACACCCTTAAACCGCCCTTAGAACACCCTGAAACCAAACTTTGTCTAATGCAGCAGTTAAGCTACCACACCA